TGAGCCCATCAAGCCTATCCGCGTCAGTTACCCAGACATACTCTCAGAAAGTGTGTTCTGCACTGTATTTGGTGACGGACTCACTGGACTTACTCTTTTCGACGTTATGAAATATGGTTGTATTCCTGTCGTCATAGATAATAATTTTGTGCTGCCATTTTCTGAAGTTCTTGATTGGACGAGGTTTGTAAAATCAGGCGTTAATTTTTTTTAATTTTTATATATATCTTTTATTTTAGGTGCTCTCTAAAAGTACGTGAAAATCAGATAGACCGCTTGTCCGGACTCCTTGAATCTTTTTCTCAAAATGAGATAAAATTACTACAAACTCAAGTTGCTTTTGTCTTTGGGCGGTATATGTCGAGCTTGCAACGGATTGTTGATACAACTCTTGACATTATTCAGGACCGAGTTTTCCCTTCTTCCTCAAAACCCTATTCATATTGGAACAATGTAAACGAAGGCGTAAGTTGATTTGCTTACCTTCTTATAAGGGTTTGAGGCTTTTAATTACCTCATTGTAAATAAGGTAAACGGTCATGGGTATTTCCTTTGGTTTGGGAGGTTCTACATTATTCAGGCATGCATAATTTTAAAGTTACGTTTTCAAGATTTGTTAAATATTCTTTTTATCTAAGCGTATTCGCACTAGTCTCATTTTAAATTATTATATGCACTTGGTTCATTGTTAAATATAGTCATATATTATTTATAGCATCTTATCTAATTATCATGCTATGGACAATATCCTCCCCAATTTTATATTCTACTCTATCTGATATTTAAGTTTATTCATTCATCTCGGGTATGTAGTTTGTACTTTTAACAGAGCATTTTCTTTCGGCTATATTATTAAGGTACATTTTTATTCTTAGATATCAGAACTTTTCTTCGTGTTATGTATTTCCATCATGGTGAAGAAACCAACTCAGCATTCATTTTGCTTAGTATGAAAACACTTCAACTCTCCTAACTAATAGTGTTGATTCGACCTTGTTTTCGCAACTTGGCCGGGGCGCCAGGGAGACTTGTGGAACGTACCTAGTCCCGTGTCCTCTGCTATAGTATTCGTGCTTTCCAGCTGGGTACATTTCCAGACGCTTTGCCGGCATTGTCAATGATAGACACCATTGTAAGCACAGAGTTACAACGTATCAAAATAACAAATCGGGGCAACCCCCTTGACCAATTTTCCGTTCCATCGTTGTGGCATCACTCCTTTCCCCTACTTTTTACTCTACCTTCTAGTGCCGCATCTCTTTCTCTCAACCCCACAAACAAAAAATAGGGGCGAGGAGTGATGCTACCACGGTTGAATAGAACATTAGTCAAGGGGCTTGCTTTCACTTGTTACTGATGTTGTAACTCTGTGATTACGATGGCGCCTCTCATTGACGATGCAGGCGAAACGTTTAGAAATGTACTCAGCCAATGGTCCATTTCTGGAAATCACGAATATTATGACAGAGGACACTGGAATAGATAAGTTCCACAAGGTCTCCCTGACGCTCCAACCAAGTTGCGAAAACTAGGTCGAACCAACAATAGTAAGGTAAAGGAGACTGCGACCAAATGGAAGGCAACACAATCTTGGTCTTCATATCTACGATCCCCTAACTAAGTTCATCGTAATATTTATACCACATTTTTATTGTATTTCGCGAAGGCTA